ACTTGTATGTTTACAAAAATAAGCATGTTACGATAGGGTGTTTTTTATATTGTTCCACGTTCACATTGTTCATTTTTTCTATATCACCTTTCATGGAAATAAGGTTGTGAAAACTTTTATACGATTCACAGTCATCGATTTAACCGCCAGTAGACCCAGTTTGTCCACTCAGGATATAGTTGTATCATATTTAGAGACTTTGAATCATTTATACTAACCTGATGTCACACGGCCCATGCAAGCACGAGAGAGGAAATGTTTCAGGTATGGAAAATGGTGCATGATAGTAAACACTAGAACAAATCATAAAATACCCGATCAAAAATGAGATAAACGCGTTTTCATCGTATATGTGGGCAATCTAATCGGAGTAACTTATCATTGCTTTATGACATCGTTATAATTGAAGGCGTAGGTCCGAATAAGTAGACCTTCTTTAGATATTAGCCCCTTTTACCTCTATTACTTTGTTTCATTTACGGGTGCTGTTAACATTCCTCGAGTCATTGACGCCTTAGATAGCTGATAAATATAGATCAATAGACAGGTACAGAAAATAAAAGGGGCAAGGAAAAATAAATTAAATTAGGAGCATGTAAGTTTAGGCGTAGGAAGGTAACGCTCAGAATAACCATGCGGCACAATCTTTGATAACGTGCAATATGGTCTACAAGTGTATTAGATGAGAGCCAGTGGCGTGGCGTGAATTGCGATATATCGATTGTTATGCCTTTTAAACCCACGGTAAAGAATCGATTATTAAGGTGTTCGTTGTGAACACCCTGTTAATTGATCCTTTTCCATAGGTTTAAGTGGCAAATCAATCGATATATCGCAAAGCACGCCACGCCACCGATGAAAGCTCAATACCACTGACAAGCGATCAAAGCAACTTCCGTTCACCTTGATATAAAATAGCCCAAATATGCCGTAAACGAAGAGAGTTCTCTCTTATCGAATGATAGTACTATAATTAGGGGTTATATAGAAAATACTTAAACTTCTGATGCAATGGTTCAGTTGCGCTGGTCACAGAATCGTGTTTTGATGTTTGATTGTTGTAGATTAGCTGAAAATGATAGGATCCATTAAAAAAGCAACTTTTTACGTTCATTGTTAACCGAGATATCGCGCTTTGAAAAATTCGGTTTATGACGTCATCCACCACGGTACTGACACCCTTGATTTCTTCCACCTTGCTTTCATCCGAGTTCCACGTTGAGTAATCAGTGCAAATGTGTGGTTCCCTGACTGATGACAGCAAGGTGGAAGGAATCAAGGGTGTCACTACCGCGGTGGATGACGTAATAAACCGAATTTTTCAAAGCGCGATATCTCGGTTAATGTTGACCGTCGAAAGTTGCTACTTCGACAGATTTTATATTATTTTTAGCTAATCTTCAAGAATTAAGCATCGAAACACGATTCTATGATCAGTGCAACTGACCTATTAATAAAAAAAAAAATCGTAGTTATAGAGGTATTTCCGATACTAACCATGGTATGATGCGTAATGGAAGAATAAAATTCCTTGTGAAGACCCATAGGGAAGTGGAGAAGAGTGAAAAGAAATAAAGAGAGGGTTGATCAACCTTTAACGCATCGATATATTTTAACGACTTGCTTCCCTGCAACATAAGAATGAAAATTAGAGTTAATCGGTTCAATCGAGGCTAATGGAGCGATTGAAAAGTGTCTTTTTGAGTAGGCCACTATTCCCGCTCTCCAGAGTGTGTGTTGCCTATGCGGCGAAATTGAAGGCAGAATATAAAAGGACGATATTTAGGTACCAACATATTTTGTCGTTGCTTTGAGTAGGCAACTATTCCCGCTTTCCAGAGTGTTTGTTGCCTATGCGGCGAAATCGAAGGCGAAATATAGAGGGACAAATCTAGGTACCAACAAATTTTTCTTTTTTGTTTCAATCGTGCATGCTATTTTTTGAAGGGTATCAGTCGATCTAGATATCTGGTACTCATTTTGTTTCGTTTCCAAGGATGGCGGCAGGTGTTGCGTTATCGTTTCAAAACTCGAGTCCGTCACAAGTAGCTCAAATGGATTACATTTTGCAATAAGGAACCACTAATCCTGGCTCATTTTAGAAACAACATATCTGCCATTGATTTCCCTATGCAGATACGTGCTTTTATAGAAGAGCCAGAGATAGTGGTTCCTCATTGCAAAATGTAATTCAAATTTGAATAGGGAAAACTTCAGAAAAAAAATTGGGGCCATGCACGTTTTTAGATGCCAGAAACCATCCAGAACTCAGAGAACACAACTTCCAGGGAGAATGATGGACTCAATTGTTCGACTTATTCCACCCTAAAATGTACCCTATTTGAAATTTTCGCCCCTTTAATATTGTTCTTCATTTATTTCCCTCTTTTTTTCCTTTTTTCCCTTCGCTTTCAATGCTCTCTTTGTGATGACGCCTGCAGCCACTCTTCATGCGCAATTCTCAATTCGTTGCTGGCTACAAAGGTGCCAACGACGCACAGTGGATGGAGTCAAGTAGAGAGATCGAACATAAAATTGTACATTAAAACTGTAAATTTTGATATTTAATATGTCTCATTTTAAATTTAAAGGGGTTCCTCTAGAAGAAAATGTCACGGGGAAACCAATGGAACCACTTTTAAGACCTTACAAGTTTTGTAAGAACTGAGTTATACGCTTTTAAAGTTTCCAAATTTTGTCCGACCCCCCCCCCCCNCGACGGTTCCTCGTCAATGAACCGTCCATGATTAAGTTTAATTTAGTTTTATAATTTCATTTACCTCCACCAATACATCACCGACATCATGAATTAATAATGTGTAGAGGCCGATTCTATGTGCGCCAGCTATCCATGATGCTGACAACAGGAACACCGCTGCAAAATGATGGAGCATTAAGAGCTTCGGGTCCTTCCTCGGCACATCCCAGAATTGTGAGATATTCCACGCGGAGTAATTCGCCAGTGATATGAGGAAGTACCAATACATGTCCCTTGTAACCGGCTGCGGCAGAAACATACAGTGACCTTAATCATTTCTTCCCAAAAATTAGTGGATAGGCTGTCAATGGATTTCTTTATACGTCAAAATTGCAAAACGGGTTGCATCAAATGGACGTGCTTCTGTCAAACGGAACTAAACGCCAATTTGAGTTCCTTTTGAGGAATTTAGAATCCCGGATAGCGTGTTCTGTCAAACGGAACTGAGCGCCAAGGAAAAGCACAGCGAGTATAGGAACGAATGAGCCTGACGCGACGCCCGCGGCCGGTTCCGCCGCCAATCCAAACCCCCCTCCACCTTCCTACCCTGCGGCGCTTAGTTCCGTTAGACAGAAATACTTCCAAATGTGTTTAAAATTCAGACTGAAGAAGTATTGCGCATACATAGTATAAACAAATAGTACATAGTATTGCGGAATGTTTTTCTGACCATTTTTTCGCACTTTCAAATTGTGATCCATAAAGGAAAAAAGGTTTAAAAGGATTGACCTAAAAATAAAAACATACTTGGTTCAAGGAAATTGCTAAAATTTGCAAAAGTTGTTGGAATTTTTCTTGGACCTATTAGAGATTGTATCACTGAGAAGTGACCAGTGAGTATATGTTTCGAAATTGGCTTATTTTTGGACCCAGGTTTAAGAAAACAAGCAGTTAAATTAGCTTTGGTGAATTAACTTTTGCTAGTCAGAATAATTATTATACAATTTTAGATAAAAACATAAAAAATGTACATGTGACGATTTTTCTCTTGGCGAGAGTAAAATTGGATAGATTTTGCATAAGAAAGTAACATATTCTCGGAAAGAAAATTCAATTTAGAGTTCTAGACTGAAAGTATGTGATACCTGGGGGTAATCTTTGAAGGCAAGTTTGATGTCCCAAAACCAATCTTTAGACCAGTGAACGTATAAACCATACGCAAGAATGAATATGAAGCCGAAACAACGCCAACTGCAAGAAAATCAATTGTAAAATGAAGAAGATAAAAAATCTGGGTTGATTACACTAAAAATGTAGTTGGAAATTAATAAAAAAATGTCCGCCGACACGCGTACATGCGAACCTTAATAGAACACTAGACATGGTAATTTTAATTAAATTTAAAAGGGGACTAATGCATCACTAGGCATGTTTCCTCGTAAAAATAGCATTTAGAATAAATAAAAGTATGTAATCAATTGGCGGACGTAGTAAAACTTGGAAGGTAGATATTTTGTAGATAGACAATCTCCTTCGTTGAGGTACTTACAAACTTTCACTGAATTTCTCTAAAGTCGTAGGCAATGCAAATTTTCTTCTGGCTTTGAACCATTCTCTAATTTGTTCCTCGGTCCAGTCAAGTTGTTTCGTAAGCGCTGATATTTCATTGTCGCTCCATTTCCCCCAAGGCTTGGACCGATGGGCTTTTTCTAGCAAGTCCACATGTGGCGGTTTTTTACGCTCTTCGTCTTGTATCCCAGCCCATGCGCCAACCTTTGGACCAACGTATCTACAACAAAATAATATTTTTCAGTCTCAATCAGATGACATGAAAAGGAATCTTATTGGTGATTTTTGGCAACGCCTCACCCTCACCTAGGATTTCATGCGGAAACAGCGAGTATTTCCAATAATCTTTCGTCATGGATTCGTTTTTTATGAACCTAGTCTGCTGGTGCTCCGATACGATAACTCTGTGGCACTCAGTATCGTACAAGTTTTTTCCTCAAGCGTCCAGCCCACGTACAAACTGGGGCTCTCAAACTGGCACTGATTCTTCTATTACTCAGCCATTTCTGCACGGAATGCCTTGAAAATTTCAAGATCTGATATGTGATGTATCCCGAACACATCGGTTCCCCTCAAAGATCGTCGGCCCGACGATCTCTGAAAGGCAACAGTCAACAGTTCCATCGATGAGCCTCTTTGAGGCCCCTAGTTTGTAGGTGGGCTGGACGCTTAAAAGCTTCGGGTCCTGCCTCACCCGCTTTGAACTGGACGTATTTCTGCCAAACGGAACTATGAGCATTGATACATGAGCCCTGAGACCCATAAAAATACATGCAAAACAGGGCTCACGTCATAATGCACATGGTTCCGTTTGGCAGAAGCTCGTCCAATTGTTGAGCGTAGGTTGCGAAGCGATGTGCATTTCTGACGGATCACTTTTAAAATCTCGGGGTAAAACCCGGTACAAAGTGTAGTGAAGTTCATAAAGTGCCCAAAAAACCTATGAGTAACATAAGTGGCTCGCTAAGCAGGAGCGTACGACGCGACACTCTGTATCAAAAGAGGAGGTTTCGCTCCATAAGAGTGTGAGTTACTCCATAAGTACAGTATATTCCGCGCTGCATTCTCATCACTCTGGTTCCTAGGGTGAGATTAATGAAACCTCAGAGTGGGATATGAACCAAATTTCACACCAAGATTCTATACAGTCGTCCCTACTTTTTACTGTTTAGCAAAATCAAATGGACGTATTTCTGCCGAACGGAACTAGGTGCGCATTTAGACATGAACCCTAATACCCATAAGAATGTATGCATAACAGAGCTCACGTCATATTACACGTAGTTTCCTTTGGCAGAAATACTTCCAAATGTCTTTCATGGGATGCGCACTGAACGACTTTGTCGCATTCATTCTTGTTCAGGTAACAGTTGGGAACGGAGAAAACATTTCAGGAAGGAAAGATCAGAACATTGCGCAAGTCACACTAACATATTTACAAGACGGTAAAGTTTCCGAACTTGTCTTCTACGATAATATCGACTGTGTTTAAAAATAACAAATCTAAGAGGTACGTACAAACTTTCAAAAGTATTAGCGCAATAAAACAAATTGTTACTCACTTTTCCACCCCATATTTTGCGATTAAAAACAGAGGAACTAACTTCCAGGCGGCGTACAGATCTTTGACGCTCGGGAATTGAAAGCCATCTCCTGTATCGAATCGTTCAAAAAAGTCCCAGGTCACGTTCGGTGGTAGCCAAAACGGAGTACTAAAAAATAAATTATCTGGCTGACGGGAGAGGTTCATCTTTATTTAATCCTCGATGAAGTTTTTTTTTCATTTGGAAGTTGCTCAATCGTCATGCAGTTAGGATGAAGTAGCCACCAAAATCAGCCTGAAAATTTCACAAAATAAAATAAACAGTCAGAGAAAAAAAACCCGCTCGACTACCTAGAAAAGTCGGCGATGTAACATTTTTTCATAATCTTATGCGTGCATTGCCCTAATTTTTTCCCATAGGTCTTTGAACTGAACCAAAAAAGATCAAAATGAGTAAATTACCTAACCCGAAAGTACCGGAAGTAAAAACAATAAATAAATCTGTAATTCGCCATCTATAATGATAAAGATCTGTGAAAATTGCGGGGGTTTTTGGGTCTCAGGGTAGGAAACGGTATTAGAAAGGGCACAGACACACTTTTACCAACAACACAAAAAACAAAAATCGTAAATTTAAAGTATGAAAAAGTTAGACTTACAAAAACGTGAAAGTTTTTCGCTGTTTGTTTTTTTCTCCATGGACATCATTGTAATGGATGCACCTATGCATTTAATTGGATCCTGTAAGACTATAGCAATTTCAAAGCTCAGGCGAAGGCTGTTTCACGGATTTTGTTCAGTGTAAAACATACCTGATGTCGCACTGTATTGTAGATATTACACGATCAAAAGTTAAGAGAACTATGGTTTATTTTTTCATCAAGAAAAGAAATAAATGAAAAATTATAAAATTAAAATAAAAAAGGAAAACAAATAAATAAGTACATAAAAACCCTGAGAATTTCACTTTTCTCCTCGTCCAAGGAACATTTTTAAGCATCCCTCGCAGGCGAGCAATAAATACAATGTGAATATAATAATGATAAATAAAATAATCACGAGGCAAACTTACATGAAAACACTCTCCGCGAGTATCACTCTATTTTAAAAGCGCAGCTGAAATTGGAGAGCACACTTGAACAGGCTTTCGTATCGCTTTACACTACTTTTCCCATACTAAATGTAGGGTCAAAGAAAAGTATAACGGTACTTTTAAGTATTTAAAATAGACACTCGCGGAGAGGAACCGACGGCTCTTCGCACGAGAGAATAATAAAAATATTAGTAAAATATTCACATCATAGCAGAGCCTCACGGCAGTTTGGGTGTAGCCTTCCGCTTTACGGTAACTTTTTTATGCGAACGTTAAGAGTTTTTTACACGTTCGGTAAACCATTATAGAACTGTGCATCAAGACCATCTGTTTCCAACGGTGGTCTGAACATTTGAATTTTTTTTTACGTATTATTTTGTATCGATCTACATATTATTACCTTAAAATGTGTTTTATATCTACTCTCAGAAAACAATGCTCGTTTTTCAAAGGAAATTCCATACTCGCACCGACCATTTCCAGAGTGAAAAACTTATCCTACGATAAGTTGGAAAATTTGGGGATTTTTTTCTGCAAATCCGACAAAATATTCAACAACACTCCATGAAAACTGCTAATCAAAGACATTCATTTGGCATCGGAAGGTCGAGTACAGTTAGAAATGGGCGGCTTCCTCGAAATTTTGATTGTTAAAAAAGGAGTAATGCTTACGACTTCGGACCGAGGTAAATTATTCCGGACGTACGGGAAGCACCATCCATTCGAGAGAACTCTGAACGCATGGATATCCCTGGAGGAAAAAGGGGGCCCTACTGGTCGCAGGGAGCACATCAGCGACAAGCTCATCTGATTCCGGGGGATTTGAACTACGCGTAATTTTAACCTGCTCTGATAGGGACACAGAGTGAAATAATAAGCTTCAGCGGATGTTTGTCTATACGGGTGCAAATGTGCTTATTCGGCTCTTAGGAAATTTTTTTAAAAGGAGAATTCAGTTTTAAAAAGACATCCCTTTGTTCCGTCAAATACCAATGTATATAGTAAAATAAAGTATTATTTTTTATTAAAAATAAAATTTTTGTTTATATATGTTTTTGAACGAAACGGACGATGTAATGTTTGTGATGGCAAAAAACGGAAAATAAATTTCGGAATTGTTATAAAAACTGCTGAACATCAATTGTACCACCTTTATGTTGTATTAAACCTACATATGCACTTGAAACTTTTCCAGGATTACTATTTAGGGAGACCATTGAATTAAAAACAGTTTCTCAAAAAACGTGTTCAAAATTGGTAATGTATGTGACGTTCTATTTTTCAGAGTAACGCTTCGAGAGGTTTCCTTCATTAAAAGAATGATAAAAAAATGTCCCTTTACTGAGAAGTTCCAAAAAGTGCCCTTCTTAAAAGAAGAGTGGCTTTGTATGGGATGGAGTTCACGCTCCATCTATGTAATCATTGTTAATATAATTGGGAATGAGTATTCTCCTCTACCTCAGTATTCGGATCTCCCTTAAAATCTGGGACTTTTTACAATCAGTGCTTCTCGTTGGAAAAGTGAAAGCCCAGAAAATAAAAACATACCGATTCCGATTTGGTATTCTCGAGCTCACGCTCACGTTAGCGTGTTACTCGTTTATTCGCATAAAAGATAAGAATTCACATCTCATGCGGTTGAAATGTGATATTTGAGATCAAATAAAAAATATAATAACAATGTTGATAAGGTAAAAAGATATTTAGGTTAGTCTGTTAAAACAAATAAAATAAAATCGGCAATTTTGAAACGTTCCGACCGAGATATGTCTTGATTTTAACCATCGATGCTCGGGTAACAACACCTCAAAAATCTGTCATTTTAATCAGATGTTTAACTGAATTCCTCCGTTATCTCACCATCTTTTCTTCATTTCGGAGTCAATGGCACCTTGTGCATACTAAAACTAAAATGCATCATTACAAATTCCAAATGTTCGCATAAAGTAAGTACTCCAGGTCAGATGAGTTCATTTTTGATAAAGATATCGTTGTGGTTGGTTCATAGCTGATACCTTATATAATAATTCAAAACTATCGTACATTTAATACTTAAGGTGGTGTATGAGGAAAATTTTATCCACGCATATATATAAAATAAACTCGTGCATAAAACATATCGTACGTAACTAAGTTACGAGGTTTCCCGCAGTGGCGCAGCGTGGCATACTTTGCGATATATCGATTGATCTGTCATATAAACCTATAGAAAAGGATCGATAAACAGGGTATTCGCAGCGAACGCTCTAATAATCGATTATTCACGCCTCGCCGCAGGTTTCTTGTGCGTGAAAGAAGTTAAAGACGTCTGGTTAAATTTATGCTGCAAAGTAGAAGAGTGTTTTTCGAAAAATTACGTGATGGGAAGATTTTTCGCTCTTTTCGCGTCGATGCAAATTTAGGCAGCCCTTTTGACTTCCGCAAATTTCTCCTATATAGCGGCTTTCACACAGTCTGTGAACATCTATTGTTGTGAGTGGCTCTAACTGTTCTGCCTGACAAGAACCATGTGTTACGCGTAAATAGTTCAGTAATATAGGCGTAGTTCTGTTCAAGTGCTTGAAATTTATTCCAATTTCTTTTAAGAATTATTTTTTTNTTTTTTTTTTTTTTTTTTTTTTTTTTTTTTTTTTTTTTTTTTTTTTGGATGAGTGATACGAAAGGGTTTAGCTGTACTCAATAATTTTGAATGAATAGAAGGACTTCGACTTACGTCTAGCTCAGACACTGTTCCACGTAGGCGCCGTGCATTAAGGAATGCATTCAGTTTTATTCTCCATTGCCGTTATACCCTCAACATTAAAAATTCTCACCTATTATGTTCATTTTCAACAACATGAAACATTTTTTTCTTGTCATGGTGACTTCAACTTTTTTATAAGCTGAATACACACCGAAAATTAACCGAGAGAGTCGGGGACTTTTGGATAGACATTGAACACTTGAAGTTTCAGCGAAAGTCATTTTCCTCTCGAAAATGTCTGAAAACACAGAACTAATGAGTTCGATCCAGCGAATACAAAAGCTGTCATCGATCTTACTGAAAAATCTAAGTAATCTCCTTGAGAAAATGAACCGACTTCACACAAACTTTCACAAAAATAGCGAGAGGGCTCTTATAAAATCAGGAAAATTTTCAAAGGATATTTTGTTGGGAATTGCTCCCTTTTTCCACTCAGAGATATTCCTAAAAGTATTGCGAGTAATACTTGGTCCTCACCTGGCTTACATTTCTATGTTTTCGCCGTTACTGTTTCTTCTGCACTGCTTCATCTTGTTTCAAGGTAGGTGCCAGTCTGCATAATATGCTGTTCCCAAATCTCCAAAACCCCAGAGGCGATTTCGCAATTTGGCAACACTGTTTTTCTTGCATGAAAATCATTTGAAAAAATTGATTTTAGGTGGGGCAAACTGCCTCACCAAGAATCTATTACATTTACTGTGTTGCCAACTTTCTAGAATCGTCACTGCAAAACCAAAACGAATTTTCCAAGTCAAAAATTATTTGGAGCGGAAAATCATATCAGTATATTTAATGGGCAGATTCAACCAAAATCACCCTCACTGCATTTCAATTTGCCAAATTTTCAGCCATGATTCATGTTTTTACCAAAACATACAGTCAAACGATTTAAACGTACCTAAGAATTTCTTCTGGATGAAGAATGCGCCAACCAAACGGGCAGAATATTTTGGAATCAAGCTAAACCTCGGTCAAAAATTTTTTTTAGCCTACATAGTCTGGCTACAGTATTTTGATGTTTAATTGGCCGTATAGATGGGCGAAAGGGACAGTAAGACATCCTACAGCCGGGCTATATGAGCCAAAACAAACCCTCTAGCAAGGCTATACATATGTTCCAAACTACTAAATTGTGCAGCCAATTTTACCCCTTAGACGTTGCCCCTAAGTGGCTTTCCATGAAAATTACGTACTTGACGCGATTTTTCCCATTTTTTGGTACCCAATTAATTACCCCGTGTTACTTGATCGTAACGCTGCTGTTCCAAACTCTCTTAAAGTAACTACTTAACATTTGCCTCAATCCTCGGAATGGCTTACTTGGAACTGCGGAACTGCGTTTTTTATAATACGGGAAGAGGTGACAAACGCAGGGTCAGTTCGCCTTCAATTTTTACAGTAGGCAACAATCGCAGTGCGGTATCACAGCAAATGTTATTCGTGTATTCGTAAATGTTATACGTGTTTTCAGACCACACAAAAAATATCCCTGAATCGAACGTGTATGGGTGATTCTACCGCACTAAAAGTTCGCCTACAGTTTTCAGTGTATGCAAAACGAGCTCCGTCGTGATCGAATAGTGGTATCAAGGGCTTGCAATGAATTAAATGTACGAACATGTCAGTTCAGGGATCATTCGAACACCAGTTTTCATTTCTTTTTTTTTTTGCGTTTTTCAGACGATGCATCATTATTTATCCAACCTGTATCAACGACATATTTCTGTTCAAAAAAATTACCACAAGCAAATGTATCTTGTCAAAATATCCTCCATGGAGAAAGAGATATTTTAGCCAGACTGCATTTGAATAATTTGCCGCACTTCATCATTGGCTTGTACATATTCATTCTAGTCGTCTACCTGGGCACAGCAGCATTGATTCACGTAGGTATTAGAGACATATTTTCAGAGTTCTTCTCTTATTATGCATATTTATCCTATTATCATATACATTTAAAGTAAACAAAACACTAAATGTTCAGAAGAGGCGCACGACTTAGGTGAAAGTAATTCAATTCCAAATTGATGGTCAAACTGAAAGAATGTGGACCTTCTTTGTTGCATTTAAAATAACGTTCTCTTATATACCTACTAATTTAATTCTTCAAGAGGATAAAGTTTCAGATACACCTGTTCTTCCAGATATTTTCAAGGAATTTTCTCGAAAATATCGCAAAGAAACATACATTTTTGTTTAATTATTTCTTCAATTTTTTTTTATTTCCTTACGTATACTTATTTTTTTCATTCTTTGTAGAACGCATTTTACGTAAAAAAGAAGGATGCGTATGCGTTGTGGAAAATTCAGTCCGAAGAGTTCATGGCTCCAAACTTGGAAAACGAAGGGATCTTGGAAGTATGCAAAGGATTCTTTAATGTATCACTAGTCGCTGGGACTTTATTTTGCTACATTCTCAATCAAGGACCTTTGTCAAAAGTGTACTTTAATTTAGATGGTTCCCAGTTTTGGTGGACGTTGATTCAAGGCCCAGTTTTACTTCTTTGGCAGGTATTCTTCTCAACCAAGTTGCTCGACACCAAATACTTTTTTCTCCTTTTTCTTTCAATAAATCTACTGCATGCAAAAGATACGGCCAAGCAACTCGCCAATTTAAAGTAAAATCGCATACAAATTACGAAGAGCACATGGAAAATGTCTGCAATCTACTCCCTATAGCGCGCCAAGAGAGACAACATAAAATCTGACCTAAATAAACAAACAATTTTGCGAACTGTTGTAAACATTCTTTACGTGTGAATGCAATTGGTTCAGATTTTTTTTTTTTTTTTTTTTTTTTTTTTTTTTTTTTTTTTTTTTAAAAA